AGGATATGGACTTGTTTGTTTACTTGTTAATGTTGCCTTTTTATGTCTAGATCAATGGTACAGTGACAGAGAACATGTCTTTAGCTGATGCCCGAAAATTGATTGAGAAGTCACGGGGGAAGCTCCAGCTGGTTGTCCTCAGGGACAGAAAGCAGACACTGCTCAACATTCCTTCATTGAACGACAGTGACTCAGAAATGGATGGTGAGGCCTAATGTGGATAAGAAGTTCTGTACTCTGTGCAGTGACAGAATGGATCTTATAGTGTTTTGCTGTGGTAGAGTGGTACTAGATTCTTTAAAAAATCAAACAGACAAACCCAAATGAACACATGCAAACAAACTGAATTAGCAGCCAATTAAGCATCAAGCCCACTTCCTTTAGGTGAAAGAAGAATTATGTAGTAATCATATAATTACATTTTGGGCAAGGGCAGAGATAGAAGCAGCAATGTTGTTCTGGCAAAATCAGTCTTGGAACAAGCAGGTCAGTTGCTTTAATAAAAGACTTCAATTTTAAAAACAAGTGGATTGGACTGGCTTGTTCTTCTGAGGGCATGAACATTCATGACAGCATTCAACAGGAGGGAAAAAATGTCAGGACAAGAGGAAATTAAGTCCCCCTGGACAACTAGTTTCTACTTCCAGTATCTGTTCCGTACAAATGATCTCCAATAACGTATGAGCTATATCTCTCAATATAATCTTGCTTTGAAAAGAGCTCAGGATTTTTGGGGGAGCAGATTGCTGCATTATTTAGTGCCAGATACTTGTTTTTCTGCTGTCAGAATACTGGGTGCAAGTTTTAGTAGGTTTTACTGTGAAGACAGGTATGGTTCAAGTCTGAGGGCTCGCTCTTTTGTCACTGAAAAGCAAGGATGTGAGGAGGTGGAATAATATGGAAGTGGTCTTCTGTTTGGGAACCTCCGTGAGACCTCAAATAGAAGGCTGCTAACGCTAGTTAATGAGCCTATGTTATGCTCAAAGTAGCTGTGTCATTTGAGTATGTTTCCTAAAGGTTGTGTGAAACCTTCCTGAAACATTTTTGGGGGAATGAGGGAGTGAAAGCACTAAAAAGGATACATCACTTTTTGAACCCTAATCAAACGCAACTTGAAATGGGAGTAGGCTTAAAGGTTCAGCATATCTTAATATGTGAAGGCTTTGTAAATAAATGTGGTGATCAGATATGCAGGTAATTTAAACAAATCCTGCATTTCTTGATTTGCTGCTCTCTTTACAGACGTTTCCGAAATAGAGTCAAACAGATCATTCTCCCCTCAAGATGACAGATTGCATCATTCTGATTTAGAGTCACATTCGTCCAATGAAAAGCTGAAAGAGAAACCCAAGTAAGAAATGGTCTTTTCTAGTTGATTTTTGTAATGCTTGTCAAAGAAATTCTTAAAATACATGGCATTCTTACTCAATTTCACTACATTTATTTATTTCTTTCTTTTAGTGCAAAAGATGATCCATCCAGTAGGATGTCCAGGATGGGAGCAATGCCTACACCATTCAAATCAACTGGTGACATTACTACTCCTGCTGTTACAGTTACAGATGCAAACAAAGAACTGAAGTACCAATATGACCCAGCAGGTCAGAGTTTGAAATTTTTGGTTCCTTTCCTTTTTCTGGGCCACAGGATGTCTACCACTCCAATTTTGTTGACATATCTAGTATACTCTTCATGTCAACCTGATCCTGACACACAGAGAAGGGGTCTGTCTTTGTGGTGCAGAGAGAGAAGAAACACCTGAGTTTATTTGAAGGCAGTTGCTTATTAGAATTACAGCCTCAAAAAGAAAGTGCTCTCCTCGGGCACCTACTGTAGCCTATTGCCCTAAGCAACCAAATTAAGCTATTCCTCAAGCCTGATCTGGCTTGTCTGAAAGAGTTGTTTATCTCTCTTGACGTTTTTATTCATTTTCAAGAATTAAAAAAAAGAGATAATTAAATCAATACTAGTAAAAGAGATACTTGACATTTAAACCTGTATTAATCTTTGGCATGGAGGGGTTTGCTAGCTAAAAATTGCTGCTGTTTATAACTCTTAAAATAGCTCAGTAACTTCTGTTGGATTTTTTACATACAGTATCTCAACCAAAACCAGTTACAAGACCAGTTCTTAAACCCAGCCCTGAAGATGAAGCAATATATGGGTAAGGCGGCACCTGCCATGTTCTTCTGCATTCTGTGATCTTCCAGTGACCTGTACCTGGTTCGTTGTTGCATGGGTTTTGGATTTTTGTCCATTTAGAGTGATACTCTCTTTATAGCTTAATGCCAAGAAGAGATGACATGGCCTCTAACTGACCATATTTGAGTTAAAATTCGTTTTAGTAGTATCTGCCTGGGAGGTACAGACTTGCCTTCTGCCTCCAACGTATAGAACACTCTGTGCTTCTGGGCTTGCATGGGAACATACACAATGGTATATTCTGCTCTATTTGGCGTTCTGAGATAGCATTTAGAATACTATGTCCATTTTGGGGCTTCCCAGGACAAGAAAGGTATTAACACATTGGAGCGAGTCTATGGTGTCTGTGGCTGCAGCATATGACATGTGAGTAAAGGCTGAGAAAACTGCTTGTTAAACCTGAATTAGAGAGGACTGACAGACCATCTTATTGCTATCTGCAATGAACTAATGGGTGGTGGATGTAGAGAAAACAGAGCTATACTCTTGTCAGAGAGGTACAGTAGTAGACAAAGAGCAGGAGACACAAAGTGAAGCACAGGAAATTCTGGCTTGATATGAAATAGCAAGCTTTTTACTATGAGGGTGATTAACCACTGGAACACCTTTTCCTTGTAGGTTGTGGTATCTCCACCACCAGAGATACTCAAAACCATAACTGGTCCATGCCCTGAACAACCTGCTTTGAGCAGAGGAACATTCTAACCTACGCAATTCTGTGGAAATGTATTTTACGCCTCTTCACATTGTTTTATATGTACGCAAAAGACATCTCTCCTCTTTCCTGCAATATTAAGATTCATAGAGAATGTTCTCTGTTTAATTTAAAAACAAGCTTGTTGCAAGACAAGGTCAAACACAATATGTGTGTTTCTGTACAAGCTGGAAAATTCTGTGCAGAAATTTGTCTTTTCATCAAATCCAAACCTGTGCTGTCAGAATAGTAGTTCTAGTCTCTGCTTAGAAATGAACAAATACTGCTTCCAAAGTCTATTTTTGTAGAGGTTGTTTTTTTCTGATTTTTATAGGTCGTCAAATAGAACCTGGTACTGTTGATTCTTTAGCAATTAAGATACTGAAAGTTGCAAACTGCATTAGTAGGAAATCAAATTACATGTTTTATTCAGAGAGTTTCCAAATAGAGAAATTGAAAGGAGCATTGAGATTGTAAGGAGAAGCCTAAAGATAAGGTTTTGAATGTAACCTGTATTTTCTAAAATGGATTCCCTTCTCAGATCTGTTTGGTGTTGGACCCTGCATATGTTATCATTGATGTGCAAATTAATTAAGTGGTTATTTTAGTGAAAGGGAATTTATAATACAGGCTTAGGGTATTACTGAGAAAGGCTGACAGATAAGTACTGTCCTCTGTTTTGGAAGGTCACTCTGGCATACAGCTTTTCTGATAGCAAAAAAGCTGAACCTAGTCCAGTAGCCTCTCCAACTGCAATATGAAAGGACTGGTTGTTAACACTCCAGTAGAGTATACTTGGAAATAGTTCTCATTACAAGAAAACCTGAAGACTTTTGTCTAAAAAACATGTTAAACTGCAAAGAAAATGTGTAAATTTAATACATAAGACAGTTCTCAAGTGTATGGAGGGAAAAACAATTAGTATGATTACTTATAGCTCAGGCTTTTTCCTCAAAAAACCCAGTTGCTCATCTGAGAGAGAATCACATTGGTAGGGAACTATTTTGGGTCTTCAAGAACAGGGATTTATTTTCCTACTCTGAAAAATGCAAATTTTCTGCTTCCTTTCCTCACTGAAAAGTTACCAGCACAAATATAGTCTGTATAGTGAAAGAAAGGGGCTAAGAATATTATTTATATGATTTTGTCAAAAAGGTTGCCATTTTTTTTCTTTTGACAACCTGTTATTGTCATATGCTTAACATCTGGCCTTACTTCCTTTTTCTGCCTTTAAATCTTGTAGTCCTAATACAAAAATGGTGAGATTCAAGAAAGGGGATAGTGTGGGTCTACGACTGGCTGGCGGAAATGACGTAGGGATATTTATTGCTGGAATTCAAGAAGGCACCTCAGCTGATCAGGAGGGACTGCAGGAAGGAGATCAGATTCTTAAGGTATGGGTGTAACTATGTGTCCCTGAAATGCACATCACTTTTGTATTTTTTGGTTTGGTGCTTTGTGAAAATATGGAATAAATTATGATCTTAGTAAGTCAAGTTATTGCTTTGAAAGTGTGTACGTGTGGTAGAGGGATCTTGCTAAGATGAATTTATTAAGAATTGTATATCAAGCTGCAGTTTGTTTAAGGTTCTGTGGAAGAGGTAGGCAGGAGTAATATTAATCAAGAAAATGCCTCAAGATGGGAGAATAAACTTTCTGTACAATGCTTCTTCCTAGTCTTGGTGGGGTGGGGAAAGTGAGGCTGGTATATTTTTCTTCTTTCATCTTTTTCCAGTTTCCTGGGGTAACAGCAGTTTATTTTTCCAGTTTCCAAATTATATAATCTCACAGAATCACAGAACGTTAGGGA